TCTTTTAGCCAGGTTCTCTCAAGCGGGCTGGAAAAGAGAAAAAAGAAGAGTTGTCTTCTCGCCTCGTCGGTGAGGGACCTTAGTTTTCTGAAACATCAGTTTAAAGCCCCAATGCCATAGTTCAAGACTGCAATTTACCCTGCTTTCGGTGACGATGCATTACCACCTAACCTCAGGGAAAATTTCTGACCAACACTCATCCAGTGCCGCCTTGANGAAATGTCGAGCCACTGCTTCGGCCGTGACAGTAGAGATGGGAATAGCCTCAGACCATCAAGTGAACCTGTTAATACACGAGAGTAAATGAATATATCCGTGTGACGGGGGTAATGGGCCTACAATATCGATGTGAACGTGATCAAAGCGAGCGCAGGCAAACGTACCGATAGATCCAGCTACATGCCTGTGCACTTTGGATCGTTGAAATTGTAAACACTATTTCGCCCGTATTCGAACGTTCTCATTCATGGATGGCCAGACGTATCGTGCAGCAGTCAAACGAAGTGTTCCTGCTATGCCTGGGTGTGATAAACCATGTAATATGTCGAAAAATAAACGACGATAGGATGAGGGTACTATAAGTCGAGGTAGATCTGTAGATATGACACATAAGATGGTAGCATTAGAAGTCGATAACAGTATTGCCTGACATCTCAAGAAAGTTGAGTGGACCGCCTCTTCGCAAGATGAATCATTTGCCTGGGCGTCAGCCGTAGCACTGATATCTAAGGGGGACTTTATCGCATTAACTTGAATACGTGATAAAGCGTCCGCAACACATTTGAACTTGCCTTGGACATGCTGAATGTCAGTCGTGAACTGGGAAATATAGTCTAAGAGTCCGGTTTTTCGGGGTGAGTAACGGTCAGACTTAGTATGCAAAGCATATGAAAGAGGCTTATGGTCTCTATATAGGGTGAAATCTCGACCTCCGATTGCATGTCAAAAATGCATAATGGCGTCGTAAGCTGCCAGCAGCTCGCGCCTAAAGCACTATATTTGGTTTCTGTGGGTTTAAGACGTCGAGAGTAAAACTCAGAAGTTTGCCAAAAACCCAGAAACCTGCAATTGTAAGACCGATCCAATTGCAGTCTGGAGCGTCAACCGCTATAATAAGCGTGGCTGACGGTAGAGGATGCAAAAGCAGCGTGGTGTGCGCTAAATAATTATTTACCTCTTGAAATGCTACTCGTGCGGCATCCCTAAGCAAGAGCTTACGTGGATTACCACACAGTAGGTCCGTAAGAGGTTGCATTGGTCTAACGGCCTGTGGGATGAATCGTCCATAGAAATTCAATAAACCCAAAAGCGCCTTCAGGTCTTTAACTGAGGATGGTAAAGTGTACTCTCCGATAACACGTACATTTTCCTCGCATGGTAAAACACCCTCATGTGTAACCTTGTGGCCAAGAAAAATCAGTTCATTTTTGTCAAGCTCACATTTATCGGGGTTGACTACAATGTTATTATCAGATAAACGCTGAAATAGAAAATTCCAATAATGATAATGTTCATTTGCATTGGAAGAGGCAATAAAGTCGTCAATGTAAACGTAAATAAAATATAAATCTCGAGTTATACTGTCGATAAACCTCTGGAAATTCTGAGCAGCGTTTCACAAACCAAAAGACATACGCAGGAACTAAAATCGACCAAAAGGAGTCGTGATAGCAGTCCTTTTGACATCTTCAGTGGCGACTGGGCTCTGATGATAAGCTCGTACCAGATCGATCTTAGAAAAAATAGTCGTGCCATAAAATGAAGCCGTAACGTCGTGTATTTTCGGGATGGGATACCTATCAAAAAGAGTCAATGCGTTGAGTGACCGATAGTCACCACATGGTCGCCAGTTAATGCTGTCTCTTTTAAGAGCCATGTATAGAGGAGAGACCTATGGACTATGAGGACGTACGATACCTTTTGGGAGTAACTTGTCGAACTCACTCTCTAAGAAAGCTAATTTGTCCGGTGCCAGTCGGTGAGGTCGTGCCGTGACTGGTGGACCTAAGTGACTATGCAGTGTGCAACACGATCAGTCATTAGTGTTAAATCCTCCATAGGTTTAGTCAACATGGGGAATCGGGCTATCAATGTATGGAAATCCACAGGGATACTAGGCATTGGACCCGTGATTCGGTACACGTTTATTCGGGCTTTGAGACCCGTGAATTTGATATTCGGTTATTGATATTGGGTTGATCAACTGCAGTCTACGTGAATCGACAAGCAATTCATAGTACTGCAAAATGTCTATACCCAGTATTCCAGTGGAAACATTCACAAAAAATGAACGTCCATGGATACCGTCGTTGCCCTCCCAGGTTGACCGTGAGTTATCTTGTTCCAAAGGTAGGAATGGGAGTGCCATTTGCAGCGCATAGCCGAAGCGTCGTAGCTCGTTGCTTGCTGCGACCGATAGGAAAGACTGATACTTGGGCTCCCGTATCTACGAGGAACCTAGAGTTCGTGTGATGGTCACGTACGGAAAACAGAGGGCCAACCTGGGGAGGCGGACCGGTGAGCACGGCCACTTTTACTCGCCGGCTTACCCAATTCCCCGACGGCCAACCTGAGGGGGCGGACCGGTGAGCACGGCCACTTTTACTCGCCGGCTTACCCAATTCCCCTCGCGTAAGTGCAGGGCTTCCTGCAACTGCGAGCTCCTGGTCCATAGCTACGATGGAACCAGCAGTAACCCTCGGTGGGGTCATCCGGGGCTTTGGGTGGTTTGCGCTGTGTTGGCTTCTGAGCCTTGGGTTGTCTTTGGCGAACGCGGGCAGGCTGTGCTGTCCGTTCGAGCCTAGGGTTAGCCTTATAAGGGTTCGCTGTGGGCAGCGGAACTCTGTCCTTGAAGGACAAGCGGTGGTGTATGCATTGTGGTTGTGGCTGTGAAGGCCGTACCATATACCTATCCTTATACCCTCTGTAGGGTTACGATGTCGTGGCAACGAGGAAATTATGCTCATTACCGATACGTGCATCTATCTTGTCAGGAATCGACGCAGCTTTGTCTATTGAGGAATCCTCCAACAAAGCTATTACCGTCGGTTGGATGGGACGTGGCAACAAATCGAGCCACAGCGCTCTGACGATGTCAGGGTGGGCGTATTCTGGGACGGATACCGTGCGTAGACGCGCCAGATTCTTAGCGTCGTGTCACAATTTGGTGTCGAGCCGGCAACTGGCGTAACCTTTCCTCATTAGAGGGGGTGTAAAACTGAAGGATCGCAGCCCTCAGAACGTCGTACGCGTTTTCCCCCGACGGTTTAAGAATAATATCCCTAATGGCAGACATTTAGTCTCCAGGGATCGCCTCCGCCGCGTAAACGTATTTGAAGCGTTGGCTTTGCACGTTACGGGTGATTAACTGCGTTTCTAACGCAGCAAAACGCACCTCAGGGTCGTGAGAGATGAAAGCTACCGGCTTAAAACTATTAGCCAATAGCCCCAGTTCCCTATCGTCCTCTGGTGGACGCTTTTCGGCCATCGTACAAATGCGATAAATAATTATATCGTGCAAATGAAAATGAACCATGAGAAACAAGTGGAAAACAAATTGGATTGGACTTAAAAAGTAAATGTTGCGGGCTCACCAATAAAACAACGGGCGTTGGCGGCCTGCCGATGAGTCGTCTTACGAATCTCAAATTGCGCGCAACCTCCTAGTATATCGTTGCCCGAAGTAGACAAAAACACTCATGGGAGTCGTAAACGTTCATTGGCGAATCGTGGTACTAGATAGTACGCAACACGTGCCGAGGTGATGCCAAACAATGCGAGCAATAAATGCAGTAGCAAAGCGAAAGCGTGTCACACGTGTCGCGTGGGTTTGAACATGAACCAGCTTATATATAAAACTGCGATGATCGTAGAAGTAGTAGTAGTTAAAAAAGGCACAGAATTCATGGCACGAACTACGCAATAGGAATCACGGAACACGAATTAGAAATCCGGTGGCACTAGACAGCAATGGCTTGAACTCGGAATAACCCGCAGGATCGAGACACGAAGAAAAAGGCCGCAAGACAGGCGAATCACAAAGTCCTTTATTGAATACAATGAACGTGAAAATATGTGCACAAAAGAAGATCATTGGTTACCTTAGTTTCCACCAATCATATTGCATCACATCTTGCGTCATACTGCTCTTCTCTGCATTGTATCTGATTGGCTGGAACGGTCCACCAATGACGTGTATCCGGAGGCTGTGCACGTGCTACTGGCGTCAGCGCTCAAGGTCAATTGACTACCAATGTCCGAAAACTGTACCGCGCTGCTCCAGGGCAGGCGTAATCCCGTAGATCCGAATCACCACAAAAACTGAACGGCAAACCGTTCCCATTCAAACAAGCAGAAGTAAAACAAAGAAGTACCACAGTTGGACTCAGAGTTCATTGTGATTGGTACCGGTAATGACATATCTTTCCCGGTAAGCGGTTCAACCCGTATCCAACAGGTGAACCAGTACAAAATTCTAGGTTTTCGGCCGAATAGCGATCTCTCGTTTTCTCCCCACAACTAAAAGCCAGTAAAACCGCCTTTCGTACCTTATATCTTATTGAACGGTGTTTCCTGCAGATAACCAAAGAGTACTTACTTTTCCTCTTTGGCATATACATACGTCTTCTCCCAGAATGCGGCGCAGGGAAACGACAAGTGTGAGCGGGCACCAGCTACGAGAAGCCCAGAGCAGCTACTCAGGGGAAAAAGAAGAAACCGAAGCAAAAGCCCTCTGAGGCCAGCTGGAAGGCATTAAGGAAAGAAATAGATGATTTGAAGGCACAAATGGCGACGACGAAGGCCATCACTAACGGGGTCTTTGCAAGGAGCAGAAGACATTTGTTGCAAAATTGCGCAGCACCGGTGGTAAAGGAGGCAAAAGCTAGACGGGAAATGAACCACAGGCATGTAATGAANTAATGAATGCCTTTAGACTGGCAGGGCTGCCACCGGACACAAAATACAGCGAATTCCATAGGATTGGACTGTTGAAGGAACCCAGGTCACACCATCCGCGCTCACTGTGGATGGTGTTCTATGGAACTCAAAGCAGAGATCTGCTTCTGG